TGTAAGCGGTTACAAGTGCGACAAGGATCTTGCTCCCATTATCAGGAGACTGAAAAATTCAAGCCATGACAATCTGCACGACCGTTACCTTCTAAATGAAACACCCGGTTATCTTTATCCCAGATCTTCACCACAGAACAGGTTATGCATTCCAAAGAGTAGCAAACTCCGACTCGCCCTGCTTCAAGAATACCATGACTGTGTGACTGCGGGGCATCCCGGTCGAGATCGCACCTATTTCAGACTCTCTAGATATTTCTATTGGCCCAGAATGGGACTGGATGTAAAGGCGTTTGTCAAGTCATGTGACGTCTGCCAACGAGTTAAAGGCGGCCAGCTAAAAACTGGTCTCTTGCAGAATTTACCAGTGCCCAGTCAGCCGTGGGCGGATATCTCGATGGATTTTATCATGGGTTTGCCTAGGACCGATACAGGTCATGATGCTATATATGTATTTGTAGACCGCTTGACAAAGTGTGTACATTTAGCACCTACTTCCTCTACTATTGACGCTAAAGGAAGTGCTGATCTGTATATCCAACATGTATTTCGACTTCATGGTTTGAGTTCTAGTATTGTATGTGATCGTGATCCAAGATTTACGGCAGCATTTTTTCAGGAATTGTTTGATCGCTTAGGAACGAAACTAGCATTTAGTACTGCCAATCACCCTCAGACAGATGGCCTAACTGAACGAGTAAACAGAATAGTAGAGGATGTGCTGAGGGCTTTTGTAAATCATAAACAAGATAACTGGGATATGCTCCTACCTCTCTGTGAGTTTTCTATCAACAGCGCTACTCAATCATCTACAGGAAACACACCGTTCTTCTTAAATTACGGTCTAAATCCCAGAGCGCCACCCGACTTCCTCAACCCTATTCAGGGAGGCAGAGATTCAGCTGATTGGTTGCAAGCAAGACAAGACGCGGTCAAGATCTCACAAGATGCGCTAGTGGCAGCTCAAGCTCGTCAGGCCTTCTATGCAGATCGGACAAGGGTCGAGGGAAAGCTGAAGGTGGGAGATTTGGTAATGGTCTACCGGGATTTCCTCCTGACTCCTGAAGCTCGGGACCGACCATCCCATAAATTACGCCCCAAGTGGTTTGGCCCCTTTCCTATAACCCATGTGGTCGGCCCGAATGCCTACAAGCTCAAGTTGCCTCATACCAGCCGCTGTCACCCGGTATTTAATGTGTCGGCACTCCGTGCCTACGAGAAGAACGCTATTCCTAATAGGAGACAGCCTACGCCTCCGCCTATCACGGACCTTGATGGTCATGCCCGCTATGTGGTGGAGAACATTCTCAGTCACCGCCGCCGGCAGAATCAGCTTCAGTACCTAGTCAAGTGGCAAGGCTACTCTGATGCCACTTGGGAGCCTGAACATTATTTGTTGGATGAATCTGGTAATGACATTGTTCCACTTCAGAAGTACAAAACCTTGGCTTCTGCCCGCTGAGTTTTGCAGTTGAACTTCTAGTTTCACCTTACACATTTGTTGAGCTTATTACACTTTATTTGCATGGAGTTTCAGTCGTCTTATTGTGTTACTTCAGTGCGAAGCCTTTTTTCGTCTCGCACGTGTTTGCGCTTATTGTACTCTATTCCACTTGAGCATTTGGGTTATAAGCTCCTTCCTCTCCATAGGAGGGGGATGATGTAACAGTTTTCCCCTGTTCTCTATAACTTTACACTCCCTCGCACCTCATGCGTCTTACGCCTGTCTATTAGCACCTTCATTGGCGCCATTGCCACATGTATACTATCACATTTTGCATATAACTGGTCGAGGCACGCTCAACCAGGCCTCTTACTTTTCAAGTTTGATTAAACCTGTTACACGGCATCGTGCGCCGAATGCTCCCGATTCGTACTTGGAAATTTTTAGCATTTCGAACACTGCGCTTCCCATGATAACTCACAGAATGGCTAGCACAACTTGAGTTGAATTTTAGCAACATAAGATCGTGTCACTTATTGTATTTAGGGATAGTTCAGAAGCGTGACAGACGAACTATTCTATCATTTCCTGGGGCTATTATTTGAATGCCACAACTTTCAGGGCTAATTTTTTGGTCTTCACGAAAAACTGGTATTGTGAACTTGATTCCGCTTCTTTCAAGGAGAAATAATTGAAAAGAAGTCCCGAAAAACGAGAAATTAGGTCCAAAAGTCACCCGGTTACGGACCTTGCCTTATGACTCGCAACGACTGCTACATGTCGTGTCGTACGAATCGTACAGGATTTTACAGCTCACCCCAGCCCTCCCGACAAGCCCTTACGTCCCGTACCGTCGGCGTTGCGTCGAATGTGAACTAGGCTTAGTTCAGTAGTCAGCATAATACTAGCACATGCTGAGACTGCAATAGCAAGCTTCACCATTGCTTATGGCCATGCAAATGTTCAGCAGCACTCAGTTCCGCAAGCTTCTGAAGATCAGCACACCTGCAACAAATAGATAGCACAAGGATACGCTTATTACCGTAATGATGCATGGGAGCACACAACTAAGTTACCAAGTTCTCAACGAATGTGATGCTCAATGAAAATCAATCCACTCAAAGACCTGTGAGCAGGTGACGGTGGGGACAATAATCTATTAGTAATACGAGGAATAAGATCGTTTGTGCACACTCAAGACGCACAGACACACCACCATACATGTAGTGTACACAGTGTTTCACTTCACTGCAACTAAATTGAAATGAGATGATTTAAACAATCTGTACAGCGTTGCCGTCAGTCAGTCTTCCCCAAGATGGAAATGCAATGATTTGTTGTCACGAGGCAGTTTCACTGACACAATGTCATGTTTGTGACATCAAAACGGTTACTTCATGGAATACGAGCACCCGGTACATGTATTAGCTTGAGAAGCTTTTTCTTGTCATCGGCATACAATAAATCCTCCTCCTACTACTACTAGTACACTGGCACTGCGTTTGTGGATCCCATTGTATTTGAAATCATACTAGAGCCTAGTAGAGGAAGAGTGTCGTGGAGTTCACATAATTATCATAGGGATAAAAATACATTTCTCATGAAATAAAATAATAATTGATGATAGCTAGACGATCGTATACGATTGATGCAAAGTCCTTGCAGTCCTTGAGGACTATTACGAAGTGGTTGATTACTTTTAGGGCATTCATTCAAGCAACATCAAACAAACGCGATACGCTCCTTGAAAATGGAAAAAATTCAAGCATATTACGACAGAACAGCAGACCAATCGAAACGAGTAAAAGCTTCCTTACCTCAGTCATCGTCCTGCCATGTAGTTGGACAGCCTTTTGACACAGTGGTACAGGCAGCTCTTGTCCAGTCAAACAGGGTATCCTTGTGGCGTTGAACGAAAGAGAGTGTCTGTGTATCTGACTCGTCAGATTGGAACTGTGCTGAACCTTTCTCGTTCTCCGCTTTCTGCTTTCATCCCTCGCTCTGATGAAGCCGTTCAAACGTCTTACTGGCAGCAATGGCCAGCCAAACAGGGGATCCTTGTGGCGTCGAACGAAAGAGAGTGTCGGTGTACCTGACTCGTCAGATTTGAACTGTGCTGAACTTTTCTCGTTCTGCAATTTCTGCTTTCATCCCGCGCACTGATGAAACGTCTTCCGAGAACCACAAGACGCTTTCCAGATTTGATTTTGAACGTCTCCTTATCCTCCTTGGTTACCTCGAGACAGATCACTGTCAGCAACTGCACAGCAGAACTGGCAGCCATGGCTGAAGTGAAGAAAGGAATGCGCTGCCACGAGGCAAGCAAAACTGAAAAAAAGGTGTTTGTTCTCTTTTTGGCACAACATACAGGACGGCGTGACTGGATAAACTGGACTCCTGGATTGTGAATAGGGGATTTGTAGAAAAAGTGTACTCCTTTAAGGGGATTGCGCGGCAGGATGAAGCTGATCAAAACTGAGTGGATCCTGGACTCTGTATAGTGGATTTTGGACCAATGGACTCTATATAGGGTGCTGGACATCATATAGTGCATGGACTTTATACTGAGTCCTACAGATAAGAATGTGATTCAGATCCTTGACGGAAATCATAATAGAAAATGGGTCTGACAAAAGCACCTTTATTTTTTTTCAGGATCCTGGCCAGGCAAGACATAATGAATCCCCCCTTTTTTTCTGAACGTTAACACCAATGTATATACATTGTATATTTTTATACAATCGACGAGGAGACAATAGTCGTAAAATGGCAATAAAATTAATAAGATAGATTGTGCATTCATAAGAACAGCAAAAATGAAGAAACTACCTGAAACCATATTAGCTGCATGTATTTTTTTGATTGATTTTTATTTCACGGATCCTCCAGAGGCAAATAGATGCCTATCGAAGGGAGTCTCCTAAGTAAGTATGGAAATTGAGAAAGTATGTTCGTAAGGGAGAAGAGGTAGAAGATACATTAGAATATAGAGTACAGAAGAAGTAAATTCAGCACTTCGGGTAGTACATTGCATGCTAATCATAATGAGAATTAGAAAAGCAGCATTGCGGACTACTATTACTGACATATACACAAACTATTGAAACTATCATAGATGTGGTTAGCCTAGACACAAAAGTCAGGAATACCTTTCAAAGAAAACATAGGTGTGTGTTTTGGTTATTACATTGTGACGGCGTTCCACTGATGACAGTCACAAGAAAACGTTATGGAACTTGACTTTCTTCATTTTTACTGTTGTTATGAGTGCACAATTTATCTTATTTATTGCCATTTTATTTTTTATTTTTTGGTCCCATCGGCCTCTTCATATTTGTGCAGCTGGACTGTTGAGCATCCGATGTAAAACAAATAATAAAAATAATATTAATGACTGGCAGCTGGGGTTAAATGAGCACTTGCATGTTTGTTGATGTTTGTGTGTGTGTATGTGTGTGTTTGTGTGTGTGTGTGTGTGTGTGTGTGTGTGTGTGTGTGTGTGTGTGTGTATATGTGTGTGTGTGTGTGTGTGTGAGTATGTGTGTGTCAACTGCAGCCAGCTACTTCAAGACATGCAGCAGCTGTACATGAAGAATGGGTGGGTGATCCTGTTACTCCCACGGTTAGGGCCCCTGCTCTAGCAACGAGAGTGAGTTGAAAGACATGTTTGGCATGACTTGCCAAACATTGTATTATAATTATAGAAGAAGGAAATGCCCAAATATAAGTATTACCTGGCCAGAAAAAAAACAACACTTCAAAAATCTTGGCGAGGCGGAATAGGAGGGATAATGGCGGTCAATTCTTCAGTCTTTATTTATTTACTGTCTGCACTTCATGGCACATAATGAAAATAGCCAATACAAGGAAGTGAGGGTGAAACCAACCACGGACTGAGGGCAAAAAGGCAAATAAAAATAAATATTAACTGGTTTGAGGGAAAAAAATAAAAAATAAAAATAATACAAGTAAATAAATAGAATTTAAATGAACAAGCGTTTCGGAGACAGCAGTTTTAATATAGCTACAAAGATAACTAATTGCACAGTAAGCATTTCATATATGTAGACATGTATGGAGCGATGTAGTCGGGCCAGCACGTTTCCACACCCCGCAGAAGCTCCTTTCTGGTTTCCTTCGCCACGAGTGACACGTCTGTCTACAGGCTGTGGTCAGTGTGGAAGAACGCCAAGTCGTCGACGTTGAGATCAGGATTTTGCGCCGACTGAACGACAACCTGAATGTCGAACACTTTTGATTTCTCCTGCGCTGCAAACACAAGTGCATTGATTTTGGTTGTGTGCGGATGCACACCATCGACTCGTGCTAGTACAGCACTCACACTGCCTGAGCGCTGGCCGGCTCCTGGACACTTCTTCGAGCCACGCGGTCTTTCAAACTGTTCCTCATTTTCGCACTTTGGTGTCATGCGGGCGCGCCTGGGGTTGTGTTCTGGTGACATCCTGTCGAGAAACGGTCCTGCTTCGCCAATTTTTTCAAAGGACTCCACGCTTTTCGGAGGTTCAAAAGCCTGTCAGAACAATGAAGGACAACTTGGCTACCCTATGTAGGGGATAGATCGCTGACATGTATGTCTAATGCCGACAGAAATATCATGACAAGAACACTAAAAACGCAACGAAGTTTTGCTTAGCGGAGGAAGTAGAATGGTATGGGGTAGCAGTGTAGCATGACATTTATACAGAATATGTCAGCATAAACGGGAGGGCACATTGAACTTGTATGGTAGATAAGATAAGAATATGATTCAGATCCTTGACGAAAATCAAAATAGAATATGGGTCTGACGAAAGCGCCTATATTTTTTTCAGGATCCTGGCCAGGCAAGAAAAAGTGAATGGCTGGCAGCTGGGGTTAAATGGGCACTTGCATGTTTGTTAATGTTTGTGTGTGCGTGTGTGTTTGTGTGTGTATGTGTGTGTGTATGTGTGTGTGTGTGTGTGTGTGTGTGTGTGTGTGTGTGTGTGTGTGTGTGTGTGTGTGTGTCAACTGCAGCTAGCTACTTCAAGACATGCAGCAGCTGTACATGAAGAATTGGCGGGTGATCCTGTTACTCCCCCGGTTAGTGTCCCTGCTCTAACAACGAGAGTGAGTTGAAAGACATGTTTGGCAGGACATGCCAAACATGTCTTTCAACAAGAAGAAGGAAACGCCCAAACGTAGGTAGTCACTGGCCAGAAAGAAAAACACTTCAAATAGGTCTGCGAGGCGGAATAGACTGGATAGTGGCGGTCAATTCTTCAGTCTTGCAAACTGTTGAATGGTGTAGTTCCAGCACAAGAGGTTATGTCATCTTGCGTAGTATTGCTGTTATCACAAATATTTCTATCTTTATTTATCAAAAATATACCACTCTTTGGTCTAGAAAGAATACCTTTTTGGTAGTATTTCTATTATCACAAAGTTGTGTGTGTGTGTGTGTGTGTGTGTGTATGCATGTGCGTGTAGATCTCCACTCTTCTTTTTTGCGATCATTGGGTCTAGTGATTTACCGTAAAGTTCGCTGCAAATGCCCACTTCACAGCAAACGCCCACCCCAGCAGGTCCATACCATTTATTTTCGTCTTTTTCAGGTCATTATAGTTGTAGGAACTGGCATGAAGGTCGAATGCGTACGAAAACGGCTGTAATGCCTAGAAACTGCCTATGGCTTACCAGGAGGCTCTGTGTGTGTATGTGTGTGTGCCGCATGTTCCGTCGAAGCGGCGACCTGAAACTCCATCAGTCATTCTGTCGTGGACTGGAGAAACTACAATGCGCTATCATTGCTATGCAATGGGCAAGGTCAAGGTGTGTGTGTGTGTGTGTGTGTGTGTGTGTTTGTGTGTGAAAATATATAAATAATATATCACGGTTCGCGTGAGACTCGGCTGGGTGACCGAATTCCGCTGGGATGCCACCACCCTCACAGATCAAGGCGCAGATGCAGCTCCTGAAGCGGTGGGAGATAACAAATGAAACATGAAAAATAGGGATTCACAGGCCAGAGAAAGCCACTTCAACCGGCCGTGTGGTGTAGACCAGGCTAAAATTCGTGGCGGTAAATTCATCATCTTTGCAAGCTATTGAATGGTGTAATTACAGCACACGTTGCTATGTCTAACATAGCTTGCACGCTATCATCACTTCAGCGATGAGCAGAGTATAAGTGTGTGTGTGTTTGTATGTGTGTGTGTGTGTGTGTGTGTGTGTATGTGTGTTATTGTATTGTATTGTGTGTGTGTGTGTATGTGTGTGTGTGTGTGTATGTATGTGTGTGTGTGTATGTGTTGCATTATTCCCACCGTACAGACCTACTGCAAGGTGAATGACCACGTGGCCGCTAACCAGAATACGTATCCGGACCAAACCGTAGAAATGGTATGTTTGTTTCTATGCCACTGGTCGTTGCCATGGTGTTTTCACGGCCCTCATTTTCAAACCTGTTCCCGCTTCATGTGGCTCTTAGACACTGGTTTTATGTGCACATCAGAGATTGCACCCTGGGTTTAATTTCACCCGGGTCAAGTTTTAACCCGCAATGAATACAGATTTTGACTGGAGCATATAAATGATGCATTACGATTCAAATTTCAACCCTCTTATACAACTAGGAAGCGTGTTACTGGACTTTTGTGTGTATTTCCTGCCTAGATTGCTCAGTATTGTACATACATGTTTGCCGCAATATGATTCATGCGACCAATCCTTTCTAGAAAATATGGACTTTTATTTCCGTAATTGACTCGGGCAGCCCCTTTTCATGTAAGCACCACCCGATATTTTTTTCCACCGTACAGACTTTCAAACAGGGTTGCACTCGACCCGGGTTGAAAATTCTTGGAGCAACGCTGGCCTCAAGCGAGGGTCCCTAACTCCCTGGTTTTAGTCCTTGTGGTGACAGTCATTTTCCCTTCAGACTTTTCCCTTTTTCATTCCATCAAGCTAGTGAATGTTTTGATAATGATGATTTTTTTATTTTTTTATTTCACTGTCCAATGGCAGAAGCCAATGCAAGGAAGGGGGTGCTAGCCAGCCATGGTAAGAGAAGAAAAAAGGAAGAAAAAAGGAAAGAAGATGATAAACGGAAGAAAAGCACGCATCAGCGGGGTGAAATTTATCACTATGTTGACCATGGTGATTGTCTTCTTGTTGTTCGTGCCCCCAACTAGGTAACCACGGCAGCTTACGCCACGTCAACAGGCTATGGAGAGAGGCGCATAGTGGATATCAAACGTGGCGACAGCGGCTATGGTTTTAACATCGTGGGTGGAAATAAAGTGGGAATGCCAGTCTATGTTTCAAGAATACTCCCTGGTGGAGTGGCTGCTAGGTGAGCTAGGTGTGCGGCCGATTTCTTGTCCACGTCAACAGATCAATGTATTACAATGTTGCTTCTGACACTACTGCTGCAGTTGGTGATGCTAGTGTTGTTATTGTGCCGACCCATTGGCTGCCATTACGGCCTCCATTACTCTTCCTATCCCTGGTGTCACTGTTGTTCTTGCTGTTGATGCTGATGTCACTGTTGTTGCTGCTGCTGGTGCAGCCGTTGCTGTTGCTGCTGCTGCTGATCTAACTGCCGTCACTGATGTCACTGTTGTTGCTGCTGCTGTTGCAGCCGTTGTTGCTGCTGTTGCTGTTGCTGCTGCTGCTGCTGCTGCTGCTGCTGCTGATCTAACTGCCGTCACTGCCGTCACTGCTGTTTTGGTGTTGCTGTTTCGGCTGTCACTGCTCAAACTGCTGTAACTGCGGCTGCTTAGAGCATTCATCAAGTATCACCGATGTTGTTCTGTTGGAATGTTGATTATGCGTGTGCTATAGCTTTGAACTAGACTTCCATGTGATACGGCTATCCTGGTGACTTCCCTCTACTGCGTGTCCTACATTTTCCTGTTGTCACTGCTGCTATGGCTTTCTGCAATGTTAGCCATTATCCTGAGATTGCCCACCTTTACTGCTATGATCTTCTTCAAACCACACCAATCATCCTCATCTCTCCAACCTGCCTTTGTTCATGCTATTTTTAAACTTGCTCTGCCTGAACTTGTTTTTTCCCCTCCACAGACAAGGTCAGCTGAAGAAGGGAGATCAGATTCTCTCGATCAACGGACAGGTATGGGCTTTCTCATTTGCAACAGCTCACTGTGCCTGTGTGTGTGTGTGTGTGTGTGTGTTTGTTTGTGTGTTTGTGTTCGTTTGAGTGTTTCTTTATTGAATAATGCAACCTTCATTTACTTTGGTCTGGCTATTAATTTGCTACTGTGTGTTTCCTTGGTCTATTGTGTCTTGTGTGCAAATGAGAGGGCAGGTGACATAACATATGATATGTGGGTGAACTTGGGAGAATTGTGTCAAGTCTGCGCAGATAGTCGGTTGTTCATTTCAATATCGGTATAGCCACCCAGTTGTTCTAAGCCTGACATCTCCATCCAAACCGTTGTTCTGCTTTGACTACTCATGGCGATGTACATGACATTGTTTTTTCTATCTTTCATTTCTGGCTATCCAAGATAGTAATAGTTATCCAAGTAACTGCAAAATGTTGTTGTCATTAAATAGCGTTTGCCGTAATCTGAGAGATTTTTCGAGTTGCACACACTTGGTTTTCCTCTCTTACTGCTGGTGACGAAAGTTTTGTTGTGTGTTATGTTGTGTGTTATGGTGTGTGTTATGGTGCGTGTTTTTATGGTGTGTTTTCTTGTGTGTTTTCTTATGTGTCTTACATCCCAGGCGATTCGCGGAATGTCTCATGAAGATATGGTTCGCACAATGACGCATTCACAGTGTAAGATTGCTATCACCAGGCATCCGTAGGCAGCGTTCGGCCCTTATTCCCAATCGAACATGCTTGAATAAGCGGTCACGTGCTCCTGCATACACCAATCACCTGGTCACCGTGCCTGCAGGGTACAACTTACAGCCTGTTTGACCTTTTTTGGGTGCAGTCCTGTCACTCGAGTTGAACTCAAGTTGAACCTTGGTGTGAAAGTTGTCGCTACTTTGCCGAAAATGCTTTTGGGAAATTCTCGTAAACTTTGCTGAAAATGCTCCCAAACCTTGCCGAAAATGCTCGGAAAACGCTCACTTTCTTGCAAGAATCGCTCTCTACAGTATCTTCATCTTCATCACGTTCATCCGAAACACACTCAATAAGAGACTTGCTCGAGTCTGCCATGGTAAACAATTCATAAACTACTCAACAAGAAGCTAACCCATGGAATGCGGAAGTGAAGTTCTTGTTCGGGAAGTTTTTCTTCTCTCAATTTTGATACACAACGGCCAAGTGCTGCATCACGAGCCCAAATTGCTGGGTTCGCGGATTGTACCGAAAATGCTAAAAAAATGCCGGCATATTACACCGCCTAGCGCTGACCAGGTGATTGGGCACGCGGGAGCACGTGACCGCTTGTTCAACCATGTTCAATTGGGAATAAAGGAGGAACGCTGCATCGCAGCTTTTTCGGACCAAAACCAGTCAACTCAGCGCCCAAAAGATTAGAACTTAAGGGCCAATCGCGGTCATCCGTGCTTTTCTAAGAACGAAATGGCGCTTTTAACATACAAATCCGCATCTAGTAGGGTGCAGTCACCCAGTTTCGGTGGAAGTGCGCGAGTTCGATTGGGATTAAAGTAGGAAGGGAGCGTCTCAGCTTCCTCGGACCACGACCATTCGACTCAGCACCCCGAAGACTACAACTGGTGAAAATTTGATTTTAGGCTTAACTTCCCCTTTAAGAAAACTATACAACCCAAATCACATCGGTAGACTTAAAACAAAACCGTAATTCAGGTGGTCTATCTTGCTGAAGACTTTTAAAAATTGCTCATGTTCTATAAACTGAAGGACTGAAAGACTGAAGTGTTCTCTGTGTTATTCTCCCTGATGTCATGCCCTTGTTCTGTATCTGCAGCGTCTCTGAGAATTGTCGTTAGCTACGCACCACACTGTGAGTATCCGTCTTTTTCTTGCTGTGTAGTGTCCTCGAGGGCAAGAATGCGATAAATATAATCGAAGAATGACACATTTCAGGCTCTCGACCAAGACCTTGATAGTGTTCTTGCTGTATAAGATGTTTTGTGGAGGCTTCACATTCATGTTCCGTGCCTTGGAGGATGCGAGCCATCTAGACACATACTGGAAGTAGCAGGGGTGTCAGAAACGCTATGGTGGTTATGGTATTAATCGTACCACGTTTTGCCTCGATTACCCCGTGAATCAATTAAATACACCGTCATCTGGGCTCTAAACTTCCAAAATTTTCGGCTAAGCCACCCCTTCCACATGAGGATATTGTACTTCAGATGGCTGGCCGTACAGTACCTGTCAAAACCCCAAAAAATGTTTGGCACCAGCGGTAGGATTTCATCATTTTCTGACCTCTGACATTGCCTTGTTGTGTTGTGTGCTCAGTATTGGACAGAATATTGAAGACGCTTGAGACACAGTGACGCATATCTGCCAAGCGCCACCAGGAGAGGAGAATGTCCTCGGCATCTGGGGGACAATAGAATGTCCTTGGTATCCGGGGGATAATAGCTTCTGGCAAGTGTTCAGTTCACTGCAGCTCCGACGTTACTTTCTGAAGTGCAACGGAGCATGTATGACAGACTGGCTGGTGGTTTTGTGCGTGCGAGTGTGTGTGTGTGTGTGTGTGTGTGTGCGCGTGCGTGTGTGTGTGTGTGTGTGAGAGAGAGAGTGCACTTTAGTGTGTGCGCACGTGTGTATGTGCGTGTGCGACCGCACGAGTGCGTGTGTGTGCGGCGTATGTATGTGTGTGTGTGTGTGTGTGTGTGTGTGTGTGTGTGTGTGTGTGTGCACATCGCATTAGTTTTTGCTTTTACTATTTTCCACGTATTGGTTCATGACATGCTGTTCCTGTAGGTCGCCATGGTAATGCTTGCAGGGCTATCTGCATACACTCTTAATAGTGAGGTTTTGCATTCCGAATTTCGGTACAGCGTTCTTCGGTCATTTGTCGAACATCAAAATGCCGAATTTTCGCACCAACGTTTGTTTTGCAAGTCGAAAATGATGTGTTTTCATTTCGTGAGCCCCAGCAGCAGCAACGTCCTGTCCCGTGCTCCTTTTCTTGCTGATTCCTACGAACTTTGATCGCCCAAAGAGTCGAGGGCCAAACCTGCCTCCTCAGTCGCCTCAGAAAAACCAACTCCATGGCCAAGTCAAACTTCATGCGTGTCGCCATAGTCTTTTCAGCCACACAGATGACGGTGACCGGTGAGGACACTCCAGGCGAAAGAGAGTAGACAGGCAGTGGAGAGGAGCAATCAGAGGTAGCTGACGATGCTATGTCGCGAAAGACGCCTGCCAAGCGATGCCGAGATAAGAAACCGCTTTGAATAAATCATGCGCTAGCGCGCTCTTCTACAAGAAAATGCATCCGAAAAATATTTTCGACAAAGTGAGCTTTTTCCGAACAAACACGCCGAATCTTCGTGTGCATTTTCGACCTCGCTCCCGCGTGCCGAATCTTTTTGCCGAATTTCGGAATGCAAAACCTCGCTAATACCTAGATGTGAACTCATGTAAATGGTATAATTATTATTGACTCAATCTACGGACAGTGCTCAATCTACGGACAGTGTCCAATCTACGGACAGTGTCCAATCTACGGACAGTGTCCAATCTACGGACAGTGTCCAATCTACGGACAGTGCTGAATCTACGGACAGTGCTCAATCTACGGACAGTGCTCATACTCTTCTGCATCACTACAGTCATGTACATGTACAACTCCATACTGGATAGGGTTTTTTTAAAGAGTTCCATGTGACATAATGTTACGTTTTGCTATTTTAGCGTATGACCACTGACAAGTCATAACCATAATATTCCACCATTGCTGCCGGAGTAGCGGCACATCCCGTCATGTATCCACTGCTACGAATGTTATTGGCTGCATTTGTGCATTACAGCTAATAAGGCGAGACCAAAATAAAATCGAGATTCCCGGGCAGGACCCATGTGAAATTGGTGCGGGTGGGCGAATTATTATTATTTTTCCTATGACTGTGTGTATGCGCATATGCGCATGCCATGCCGAGCTTTTTTTTTACAGTATTTTCCAGTAATTTTTATTCAAATTTCACAAAAAAAGGCACGCGGTTTACCCGTTCAATTTTTCTTTATTTCGGCCAACGATGGTTCTCATCTGTACATCAGGCCAGGGAGTCGTACAAGCTCGGGTTTGTGTGACTCCACGTCACAGATCTACTCACACGATTAGTACTGTACATGTATTATGAACTGTTAAAAAAAAATTGGCCTTGGCTCCAATTTGATGCGGGAGGGCCCGGGAATCACTATTTTTTTTGGTCTCGCCTAAGATCTCTTCATGTCTACATTCTGTGTGAGATTAGTACTTCCAGATCATACAGTAGAGTAGTCGCGTGTCCAAGAACTTTGTTTCCAAGGGGTTAGCCTGGGAAGTTCTTATTATTATAATAATTTTTTCAGCAATCTGACTGCGGTCTTACGGCGCGTTCTTAGAAACAATGCGCGCAGGATCTTGATAATGATGTTGTTACCCACTGATCAACTGGTGATCAACAGATTTGTTACCCATTGTTATCACTCCCTTAGTATTGACTCGCATAGATTTTTGCCATACCTAAGCAGTCAAATATTCCTGCATATTTCACTCCTTAGGGCTATATTGACTGCTTATATTTGACTGCTTAGGGGTTGCGCAGTTGAACGGTGCCTAGTGCAGCATTGTCACTGCATGAGTAGGTGGTGGTGCAACGGTTGTGCAATCATAAAACCGGGCTTCATGAGGTTATCGTTCTGGAATTTGAAATACGGACTGTTTGTCGTGATAAATCTAATATTGACTTCGTACTTGGTCAGTATATTAGATACATATTGTTATGCATATTGTTATGTATCCCAAAAGCAGACGGAAAACCAACAGGCAACACCACCGTTCTCAACATTAGGTTGTGGCGTTATTAGCATTTCAGGCTGCATGTTCTTGGGCTCCAAGTTCTTCAGTTTCAGTGTGTGAGTCCACTGTACCCGTCTGAATCCTGAACATTATCCGCCAAAGCCTGAAAACAATCTACCAAACCCTCAACACCCCCCCCCCCCCCCCCTCCCCACCCCCCCCCCCCCAGAAACCATAAGCGCAGTTGAAGGGCTGTGCGAGGATAAAATGACCACCCTTGCCGCAAATATAGATGACAACCCCTCTTACAAAGATAGATCCGCATTGTTTTCACAAGGAACGTGTAATGGCTTTGAGAAAACTCTGCAAAGGTAATGCAACGAAACGAGTTATGTTAGATCGATCAAAAATTCAAAATAATTAATAACGAAATCATCTTGACATGTGCCAATATACAGGGGACTGCAGGAGCCAGTCGCTTCTTATTACGCATTAAACTCAGTTCAAGACATCGTCATGGCAACATGGCAGTCATGCACACCTAGGCTGGAGTACATGGTGAACAGCGTCCGTACATCCTTGCACATTAAGGTCATCGGTTTCAAATCTCCTCTACCAGTGTCTTCTGGAGTTCCCCAAGGCTCCATACTTGGACCTCTTTTGTTCGTAGCATACGTAAACGATTTACCCTCTATAGACCCAGGTGTCTCGTTATTTGCTGATGATACAACCCTACTGTCAGCATCCTCGTCCTCAGCGGCTCTTGTACCTCGAGTGTCGGCTCAGATATGCAGTGTCCTACGCTGGATGCAAACATGGCGACTTAGACCCAACCTGACTAAAACCGAAATAATGTTCCTTCCCCCAATCTCATCCATGTCACTTTTACACCATCCTGATTTCCCAGAACCCATAAAGGTTGTTTCCAACCATAAACACCTGGGAATAATGCTTGATGATCGTCTCTCTTGGTCTTTCCATATTGATGCTCTTTGCAGCCGTTCAAGCTCTGCCCTAGGTGTTATACGTCCCCATTGTTTCCATCTTCCTTTCAAATGTAAAATTTTGTTTTACAAACTGTACATCCTGCCTCTTTTCATGTACGCTGCTGTTAGCTGGTGTGGCTTGTCCTCGGTTCTCGCTGAGTATCTCGAAATCCACCATAGAAAACTTCTTCGTATCCTGTTTAGTCTACCCCCTCTCTACCCTTCTGCTTCCCTGTATGTCCTTGCAAATGCTTGCCCACTGTCGACCCACCGTCAAAAATTAATTTGCACTTTTGCTCACAAATTTAAACTAGCTCTACATCCTCCTCATCTTAACGTGTATAACTGGTTCCGAATCACAGATGGCTCCCAGACAAGATGCTCTGTTGCCCTCCCCTTGGCTAAAACGTCCTCCCTTGTACGCTCTCCACTCTTTGTTGCTTACTCTGCTTGGCTTGCGCTGCCCGCTACTACGCGCAATGCCAGTACCCTGGACGCACTTAAATCTGCTCACTAGATTCACCATCACCTGTCCCTCCCATGCTTCTCCGTCTTGACCATTACTTTTCTTCTTTTATTCACCATGGTTGGTTAACACCCACATCTCCCGTACTGGCTGATTTTCTTCTCATGCCATGAGGTGTTGTCTATAATAATAATAATAATAATACACTAGAACAGTTATATTGGTCAAATCTGAAAAGAACTAGAGTGCAGATGAGAGTCCTCCGGCTTGGTGTCTTGTGAGAATTACATGTAGAATGCACATACTACTCTGCAACAGTAGCATCAGCTATGCAGGCTATAAATTTACTAAATAAGTTGCGTTTTACTCAAGACAGCAAAATATCTCTTTGCCACACGACAGCATGCCTAGCACAATATCTCTATGCCATACGACAGCATGCCTAGCACAATATCTCTATGCCACACGACAGCATGCTTAGCACAATATCTCTATGCCATACGACAGCATGCCTAGCACAATATCTCCATGCCACACGACAGCATGCCTAGCACAATATCTCTATGCCGCACGACAGCATGCCTAGCACAATATCTCTATGCCATACGACAGCATGCCTAACATTATTATCACTCTATGATGTATACATGTAGTATTGTTATGTCAAAAACGGATGAGAAAACAGTCTGTTGCGGATGCACCAATGTGTGACACCATTACATCACAGTTTACCACCATGACATTATGGTTCACCACAGTGACATCATAATTCACTATCATGACATCACAGTTCCTCACCGTGACATCACAATCATGGCGTCACCACAGTTCACATCCATGAGATCATGGCTCCATGTAAAAAAATAATAATAAGGCCAAACTAAAGAAGGTGTGTGGTTCGACTCACCCGACCGACCGTACAATTTCAGCCCGACCGTAACTTTTTTTCGGTGGGCTGTCGTGTGACTGACGTACGTGGACTGAACACGTCCACGTCTACGTGCTGTGGGGCGTGAGTCTGCGGACGCAGGCGGCTCCTTTTGGACTTGACTTGTAGTTGTACTGCAGTGCAGTGCAGTGAGTGGTACGACTGCTGCCTTGTGCTGGTAGTAGAGTCTACTCGATACGCGTATACAGTGTATTTACATGTACTAAAAAATATATTTAAAAAAAAAAATCCGCCCGCCCGCCCGTAAAAAAAATGTCCATGTTAGTCGAACCACACACCTTCTTTAGTTTGGCCTAAGGCCAAACTAAAGAAGGTGTGTGGTTCGACTCACCCGACCGACCGTACAATTTCAGCCCGACCGTAACTTTTTTTCGGCGGGCTGTCGTGTGACTGACGTACGTGGACTGAACACGTCCACGTCTACGTGCTGTGCGGCGTGAGTCTGCGGACGCAGGCGGCTCCTTTTGGACTTGACTTGTAGTTGTACTGCAGTGCAGTGCAGTGAGTGGTACGACTGCTGCCTTGTGCTGGTAGTAGAGTCTACTCGATACGCGTATACAGTGTATTTACATGTACTAAAAAATATATTAAAAAAAAAAATCCGCCCGCCCGCCCGTAAAAAAAATGTCCATGTTAGTCGAACCACACACCTTCTTTAGTTTGGCCTAATAAAATAAAAAAGGCCTCTTTTACGGGCAAACAGAATACAATTGACAGTGGCATGGCGAATGATTAGAACACAACACCAAAAAATGAAAACAATTGTATGTGTGAAAAAACGCAAAAACGAGAAACAAAAAAACAAAAAACAAAAAAACACCAAAAACAAAAACAAACAAAAAACAAACAAAAAACAAACACCAAGAAAATACAAGGGCGCTGTCCTGCCCACCATCGTCTCCAAAACCTCACAGCCGGCCCTCCGAGATTGCCAACTCTCGCAATGCATTCACAGGACGGTGATATGACGATCGAGCACCGCGGATGCACATGATCGCCGACCGCAACAATGCAAACGCCATGGCTCCATGTCGTGATGTCATAGTAAACCACAATGACATAACAGTTCACCACTATGACATCACAGCATCATCCTGATCACCTCTACGACCACAAGGTAGTTGAAGGCACAGCAGATGTAGGTCATATCATGGCTCGAATCTCTCTTCGTTCGGTACCGTACCATTCTCGATGATCTCCGTGTTCGTCATGTCAACATCGTCATCATCATCGTCATCATCGTAATCCGAGAGGAGATTATCCCGTACGGATGTGATGTTGCCACTGACTTCAGACACCCTGCGCAGGTTCCTCTCTATCTCCTCGTATTGTAGCTTCTTTGTTGTTGTTGTTGTTGTATACTTTATTTATAGTGGAAATCAAAACAGGCAAAATGCCTAATAACATTGGACCCACTGTGAATAACATGTTAAAGGATATTGTGGAAAAGTAGATACAAGAGAAAAAGAGAAAGGAATAAAAACGGAAGGTTGGTTGCAACGAACTTCTTCAGAAGATCCTTGGCATCACCCCGGAGACAGCTCAGCAGCTTATCTTCCTGTAAGGGATCACAGGAGAGTAAAGATGAACACGTCACACATGTACAATCAGCATTTTGACACCCTTGATTACGTAGCAAACGGGGCATTGTAAGAACATTGAGTAGAATGGGATGCTGAGCTCCAACTTTGGATCAGCCAAAGTCAGCCTTTCTGTTAGACCATCGACATACCTCCTGCAGCACCAGCAGCAGCAGCACCAGCTTCAGCATCAGTATCATCATCATCAGCAGCAGCAGCAACAGCAGCGGCAGCAGCAGCAGGAGCAGCAGCACCACCACCAGCATCGGCAGCAACAGCTTCAGCTGCAGCAGCAGCAGCAGCAGCAGCAGCAGCAGCAGCATCAGTATCAGCAGCAGCAGCAGTAGCACCAGCAGCAGCACCAGCAGCAGTAACAGCAGCAGCAGCAACAGCAACAGCAGCAGCAGCAGAAACATCAGCAGCACCAGCAACACCAGCACCAGCACCAGCAGCAGCAGCAGCAGCAACACCATCACTACTAACACCAATACAGTAGTGTTGGTTGCTGGAGAACTGGGGAGGGAGGGGGTGGAGGGGGTGGAGGGGGTGGAGGGGGTGGAGGGGGTGGAGGGGGTGGAGGGGGTGGAGGGGGTGGAGGGGGTGGAGGGGGGGGGGGGTCATTGTTGTAAGCTAGGCCGTTCTTATTATAATGTACACTGTACTACAGACTATGCGCAGTGGGCAGTGGATCACCATGGAGATATTAGTATGCAGAGCTAGGTGATATTCTAGTTCATCATTCATCAGCACTCAGTTCTTCGGGGCCCAATAGTTGTGCACCATCACCCCCATCAACACCAGCAGCAATGGCATCACAGCAACGAGGCGGCACTACCAGCAGCAACGACTGCCAGTAGCTGCAGCATGATTGTCTCCAGAACTTTACCTTGTTATCAATGAGTAGGAGATGATTGTCATGTGACGTCGCCATCTGAGAAAGAAGTCCCTGTTTGTCGTTTAGCAGCTATACATATGCGCATACATACAGACGTCAAGAGAGACAGGCACACAGATGTGCACATACACAAAATTGCACGCATGCACACAGATATGCGCATACACACGATTGCACGCATGCACACCGATATGCGCATACACACGATTGCACGCATGCACACCGATATGCGCATACACACGATTGCACGCATGCACACCGATATGCGCATACACACGATTGCACGCATGCACACAGATATGCGCATACACACGATTGCACGCATGCACACAGATATGCGCATACACACGATTGCACGCATGCACACAGATATGCGCATACACACGATTGCACGCATGCACACAGATATGCACATACACACGATTGCACGCATGCACACAGATATGCGCATACACACGATTGCACGCATGCACACAGATATGCACATACACACGATTGCACGCATGCACGCAGAATATCAAAGCGTGATCATTCCCAAACACTAACACACAGATACATGGTTATCAAAACATGAAAGCAAACTAGTACCTCCTCTTATACATGTGTGTATCGCTCCCTTGCAACACCATGCAATTCGGTCAAGGATGTTTCATAAAAGGGTCATTTCTCCCTCCTCAATGGTAAAAAAAGACGAATTACAGTCTTTCCCTCAAACCAGTGAATATTTCAAAAAAGAATTGCAGTCTTTCCCTCAAACCAGTGAATAATTAAAGAATTACAGTCTTTCCCTCAAACCAGTGAATAATTAAAGAATTACAGTCTTTCCCTCAAACCAGTGTTTAATTATAGAATTACAGTCTTTCCCTCAAACCAGTGAATAAATAAAGAATTACAGTTTTTCCCTCAAAAAAAATTCACGATTCGCCAAAGGCCCAGTTTTCCGCATCCGCAGGAACGCCACCACCCTCTTGGATCAAGGCGCAGATGCAGCTCCTAAGTGGTGGGAGGTGAGTAGATCAGACCCACCACAAAGTGGTCAAAGACCGAAATCCCATTCACTGCATCCATGTTTCCCTCGTGCCAGGCCACGAGTTCCCAATTAACTGTGGGTCGCAGCTAGGCCTTGACAGATTATGCTAATATTTTTGTGAAATTATGCTTTTCGCATTGCTGAAAAAAATTGCAGAATTATGCTATTTTTATGCTAAAAGTTATCATATTATGCCGCATTAAGCGGGATTCACAGAAGCTTTTTTGTGATGCGACACGCGATGCGACAGGCGCGAAACCGGGAAAACCCCAAATCGCAGCCATGTCGCGGCCCACGCAACTGCCGCAACTGGGCCATCGCAGAAGTTGAGCTTGGCTCAACTTTTGCGATGCGATGCGATGCGACAAGCGATTTGGTGTACGATTTTGACCTTTTCTACAGCAAAGTTGTACAAAGGTGCAAGAGTTGCCTATAAATTTTTACAAGTTGTGTCAAACCGCGCGAATATCATGGTGACGTACCCAAATCAGCAAAACTTTGTCGCATCGCTGACTTCTTCTGTGAATGGTATTTCGCGAGTTCGCATCGCACGCATCCATCGCAGATCGCGTCGCATCGCGTGTCGCATCGCAAAAAAGCTTCTGTGAATCCCGCTTTATGCTCACATACATGTATGCTGCTAATGTATAAGATGGTTCTGTGCAAAATAACAGGGGAATGTTTTTGTAGAGGGCGTTGTTCTGTAGCAAAAGTTCAACGGGGTCAACGCACCGTCCGACCTAGCTACGACCGTCACCCTGGTCACTGATTGTAGTGGACTGGACATGTTATCAAGGGAGTCGTAAACCTACGACTTCCGGGTGCATCTATTTGTACTTGTAGAACATGTACAACTGTTTGGAATTTGATTTTAACAGGCGGATTATTCCAATTTTATGCAATTCGTATACAGTTTGCCTCGAATTATGCGATTATTCGATTTTGGTAGGAATTATGCGAACAATTATGCTAGCATAATCTGTCAAGGCCTACCATTGGCCGAGCATAGTCGCCGATGGCTAGCTGAGTGAACACGAACAGAACGAAGATATGATGTATCCTTTTTTAATCTCCAATGCAGTCGGATTGCAAATGAATTTTCAATGTGCAGTGATAAGGTGGCAGATTCTGCTCGCAAAGCAGTGAAATTGGCAGAACCATACAAACCTTTTGGCGGGCAATTCTTTATCCACCAGTTCACCACAGTTCCCTCCTCCATCATGCAAAGCTCCCCACCCTTAGCCCACGACTCCTTGTTAAACAAGTCCTACTAGCATGGGACATCCACCACCAAACCTCCCCACCACACCTGCAACAACCACATCTTGCACCACAACGTCAACACCAACCATACACCCTTCGACAGACAAGGACCTACTCCATCGGACACGCACACACAAACAGGCACCGAGATTCCCTCATCAACAGTGCCCTCACCCTCTACAACTCACTACCTATCGACATCACAACCCAACCTCGTAGAAATTCTTTCCGAAACAATGCATCCAGTCTTCTTTGGAGCAGTACCTGTTCCTGCTCCGCGCATCCCCCTGGTTTCAGATATCTCGATCACCCCTGCTAACGGTATTGCCCCCCGCTTGTTTTTTCATGATCCATTGCTTCTTGCCTCCCCGGTTAATTTCCATCTAGTTGTTTCTGGCTAGTGCCAGTTCTAACGCACTTAACAATCATCCTTATTGGCGGCACGCCATCGTGGAATAAAAGAATAATTATCCACATACCAAACATGCATGAAACTTACCAGGAAAAGTACCGAATTCTGCCAACTAGATGTGGAAAATCGTGTTCAGCTTGTGTGTGGACGGAACAAATCAAGGAATTCCACCTTGCACCAAAGCCCACATGCAATGAACATTATGCGAACATACCGTGATGATGTAAGTTAGAGTATGTACAGCACATCACAGTGATCCCCGTGCAACAACTATACACATCACAGTGATCCCCGTGCAACAACTATACACATCACAGTGATCCCCGTGCAACAACTATACACATCACAGTGATCCCCGTGCAACAACTATACACGTTCATCACATTCATCACACCCACCGCATCCATCACATCCATTTTGTCCGTACAACAGGCTTTACTGCTATACACACCGTACACCACATACAGTACATGTACACCACATACAGTACATGTATACCCAAATGATAGGGTGAGCCAATGGAATACTAATAGTTTACTATGGTCGGCAAGTAAATTTGGTTCTCAGTTTCTCACACCATTACACTCGTCTACCAGAAGTGATCACTGATCAATGATGATTGATAGATCAATAATATCGACAGTACGGAAACGCAACAGTAGTATTAGTCATGGTAGAAGCCTTTTGCACAGGAAAATAACGCAATTGATGCAATATTCGCAAATATAATGAACACAAAATACACAATTCAACCTGAACGGATCAGTGATAATCAGAGTGGAGGGTGATGATAAAAACCTGATGATGAAGTACATGTAGTTAGCATAGAGTTTGGTCACAGCCAGTGGGACGTTGTAATGCTTGAATGAGTTCTCATGGTTAAAAGCGGAGATGGGAATGAACGTTCTGCTACAGCTGATATATGCTAGTCACAAAAAAGTAGTGCAGGATTCATTACAATGTCATTGTACATGTAGATAGGCAAATTGTGTATTGATAGGTTTCTGGTTTTACAGTCTTAGATGTGTGAAATCAAGAGAATATAATGGTGAACATCATCCGCTCTGTGTGTAGGCGGGAAGGTGATGACGTCGTGCGATGTGTTCATCATGGACCCATCGTTCATAGTGTAAGCAGTTGAAATAGCGTTGTTAGAGCGTAAGCTGGAGATACCAAGACTTCTCGGCTGACCAGAAAACCAGACGTGCTGGCATGGACACAGGGTGACGGTGACGATGGCGGCGATGCTACAGCTTGATCAACTGAAGATGACTGAAGCTGTACGGGCGCAACTGGAACTTTTGTACTGCGATCCTGTTTCTTGCTGGTGGGCAAGGAAAGAGCCAGTTGTACTTTGACGATCAGCTTTCTCCCTGCAGCGGCCACATCTAGGGAGGTGCCACCCCACGACCCGTTCACGTGCACACCAAGGGACGTTCGCGCGGCTGCAGGTGTGAAGTTCTTCAAGATTCCAATCTCCACCGATTGTCGGACTGTTGTCCGCTGCTGTTCCTGGCGGGGATCAGACAAAGCTGATGGGACTGGAGTAGAACAGTCGCGAAATCGAAACACTAGTCCATTGGGGCTTTCACTCACTGGGGAACACGGAAAGGACAACAAACAGAAATCACAAACATTATTACTAATCAACTTTTCTAAAAAATACTTGTGTATCCACACTATTTGGAAAAGTATCAAAAACGAATAATTATTGATCTACAAGAGCATTCTGCAACATTGGCAGTTTGAGGCAGCTATTCTTGCTTGTTATCAGTTTCTGTTTAAAGGATTTATTATCCAATGTTGTTATTCCGACTTTGTGGCCGGCCTTGACTTCTGGACTTGTGTAAGGAGGGGGGGGGGGCACGACCACGCCCACCGCTTGTTTGTGAACAGTTGCCTGTGTGGCAGTGATCGCGTAGAAGGTTACGAAACGAACGTAATCGAACGGCAGTGTTCCAAGGTCACAGAACGCTTACTTGTTTTGGATAATTCCTCGACCAACTTGTCCACGGTCATCTGCATACGTCCTCCGGAGGTTGGTATGGAATACGAACGTCTCTCTGACAACGTTCCACTACCGCCATCACCACTACCATCGACATGCTTCTCATCACAGACGGGATCGATGACTATGTGCCCGTCACGTGACTGACTAACATCAAACACATCCAAGGCAGTGGGGGAGGGAGTGGAGCACTTTTCACCTACCATATTTAGTGTTGTTCAAATATTGATATCAGATATTACGTACAATAAGTAAGGTTTGATGAAAGAGGTCAAGTGTACTTGAATGAATTCAAAGTGAAGGAGACTTTGGAGAACTGAACTTTCTTTTGCTAACTTAGAGCTCCTTTATACTCTCTATCAGGCATTTGTTAAAAGGGACGTGGTAGCTCCTCTTGAGAAAATGTTTGGGATGTTTTGGGATAAAACAGTTACGCCCCTAACTTTCGATCTAGTGCGTCTTGAGAAAAATGTCTGGGACGCCATGGGTCGACAGTTACGCCACTAAAGTTGATCTAGTGCTGTGTATAGGGCTTGAAAGTGATGACGTCAAAACGGCCAGGGAGTAGTAAGTTGACATCAGATTTCTATTTTTGGATCCACTAAGGTGTGACTTTGCTATTGCCTAAGTATGTGGGTGCATAGCAACCCACTCATGTCGCATGCAGGTGTGACTTTTATTTCGCCACCAGTTGTAACCCCGCCCCCAGTAGCCAAATCAGTCAGTTTCACTGGCTACATCACCATGCTGTGGGCAAGACCGCTTGAAATGTGCTTGGATCCATACAAAAACTGGATCCAAGTGGATCCAATTTTTGAATTTTTGAAATTGTTGCTATGCTGTGACGTAGCACTTTCAAGCCCTATTGTATGCGTGTAAGATTCCGTAGACTCAGTGCACGTGACACCAATGTTTAACTTGCAGTCAGGGAGTAGTAATGTATTTTACTACTCCCGGACTGCAGTGGGTTTTCCTGGGGTGTGCTGCGCGCACTGCGTGTAATCTGCGCGTGTAGCTCGCGCAACGACGGTTATGTGGACGAGAAGCAGCCTTCAACGACTTAGGTACTTTCCCCTTTCCCGTGGAGATTACGTAATTTGACAAGCCACTTGTCAACATGTTGATAGGATCTAGGAGGGATCTTCAAATGCTCTGCTGCTTGGCATTCAGCCAGACAGCCCAGTCGGGAAAACGACCATAGGCTTAGGTGCAGGACTTGTGGAACAGCCGCTGTCGAATGAGCCAGAGCTGGCACTGGGGCAGGAGCGTGTGCAGCATCACTATTACTAATGCGGCATTCCAGTCATGTACAATGATGTACAGTAGCTTTTAGCATGACTGTACTGTACCAGCATACCGTAACAGAGATCTCCAGAGAGGAGTTGGACAGGAGTGTATTGTACCAGTTCTGTCGTAGGTACTATCATGCCGACGAGTATTACCCACTCACTACTAATCCGTACAACACTCAACAGCATTCCACAGGAACTAGGAATACTCCACTTCATGTCATATCCTTTATTGCTGAACCCACAAATAATTGTGATACAGATCGTACACCATTCGAGGTAAATGAAAAAGCCATTAATAAAACAATATTAAAAAAAAGAAGATAAGGTCACTGTACCATGCCAGACTACTATTATCCACTTCATGTATAGCAACCACGGTACACGATCGAAACTCATCAACACATAATTCCAGAACCCCGAAATCATGCAGTCGTCGAGCGACTGGTCCGGCCCGCTCTCAAGTCCACTCTTCCCAACACTGGTCGCAGGTCGCATAGGGCCACGGGCATACACAGGTGCTCAGTCACAGGTCCTTTTGGGCCACAAGCACACACAGGTAGGTAGCCCTTTCCCAAAGATGCTAAAATATTTCGCAACTTATGCTTTTCGCAACCATGCCAAAACAAGTGAAAGTTGCTGAAATCGCATCCATATTGTCAGAAAAACGTAACGTCGGAGCTGCAGTGAACTGAACACTTGCCAGAAGCTATTATCCCACGGATACTGAGGACATTCTATTATCCCACGGATGCCGAGGACATTCTATTGTCCCCTAGAAACCTAGCATATTCTATTGTCTCCGAGATGCCATGGACATTCTATTGTCTCCCAGATGCTGAGGACATTCTCTTTTCCTGGTGGCGCTTGGCAGATATGCGTCGCTGTGTCTCAAACGTCTTCAATATCCCGTCCAATACTGAACACACAACACAACACGGCAATGTCAGAGGTCAGAAAATGATGAAATCCTACCGCTGGTGCCAAACACTTTTTGGGTTTTTGACTGGTACTGTACGGCCAGCCATCTGAAGTACAATTTTCTCATGTGGAAGGGGTGGCGTAGTCGAAAATTTTGGAAGTTTAGAGCCCAGATGACGGTGTATTTTTATTGATTCACGGGGAAATCGTGGCAAAACGTGGTACGATTATTACCATAGCGTTTCCGACACCCCTGCTACTTGCAGTATGTGTCTAGATGGCTCGCATCCTCCAAGGCACGGCACATGAATGTGAAGCCTCCACAAAACATCTTATACAGCAAGAACATTATCAAGGTCTTGGTCGAGAGCCTGAAATGTGTCATTCTTCGAGTATATTATCGCATTTTTGCCCTCGAGGACACTACACAGCAATAAACAGACCGATACTCACAGTGTGGTGCGTAGCTAACGACAATTCTCAGAGACGCTGCAGATACAGAACAAGGGCATGACATCAGGGAGAATAACACAGAGAACGCTTCAGTCCTTCAGTTTATAGAACATGAGCAATTTTTAAAAGTCTTCAACAAGATAGACCACCTGAATTACTGTTTTGTTTTAAGTCTACCGATGTGATTTGGGTTGTATAATTTTCTTAAAGGGGAAGTTAAGCCTAAAATCATATTTTCACCAGTTGCAGTCTTCGGGGTGCTGAGTCGAATGGTCGTGGTCCGAGGAAGCTGAGACGCTCCCTTCCTACTTTAATCCCAATCGAACTCGCGCACTTCCACCGAAACTGGGTGACTGCACCCTACTAAATGCGGATTTGTATGTTAAAAGCGCCATTTTGTTCTTATAAAAGCACGGATGACCGCAATTGGCCCTTAAGTTCTAATCTCTTGGCCGCTGAGTTGACTGGTTTTGGTCCGATAAAGCTGCGATGCAGCGTTCCTCCTTTATTCCCAATTGAACATGGTTGAACAAGCGGTCACGTGCTCCCGCGTGCCCAATCACCTGGTCAGCGCTAGGCGGTGTAATATGTCGGCATTTTTTTTAGCATTTTCGGTACAATCCGCGAACCCAGCACTTTGGGCTCGTGATGCAGCATTTTGGGGGAAACGGAGCACTTGGCCGTTGTGTATCAAAATTGAGAGAAGAAAAACTTCCCAAACAAGAACTTCACTTCCACATTCCATGGGTTAGCTTCTTGTTGAGTAGTTTATGAATTGTTTACCATGGCAGACTCGAGCAAGTCTCTTATTGAGTGTGTTTCGGATGTCAGTGATGAAGATGAAGATACTGTAGAGAGCGATTCTTGCAAAAAAAGCGAGCATTTTCCAAGCATTTTTGGGAAGGTTTGGGAGCATTTTCGGCATGGTTTATGAGAATTTCCCAAAAGCATTTTCGGCAAAGTTTCGGGCATATTACACCGGGCCCTAGTCAGCGCGCCAGCAGGCGACAACTTTCACACCCAGGTTCAACTTGAGTTCAACTCGAGTGACAGGACTGCACCCAAAAAAGGTCAAACAGGCTCTAAGTTGTACCCTGCAGGCACGGTGACCAGGTGACTGGTGTACGCAGGAGCACGTGACCGCTTGTTCAAGCATGTTCGATTGGGAATAAGGGCCGAACGCTGGCTACGTATGACTGGTGATAGCAATCTTACACTGTGAATGCGTCATTGTGCGAACCATATCTTCATGAGACATTCCGCGAATCGCCTGGGATGTAAGACACATAACAAAACACATAACAAAACACACCATAAAAACACGCACCATAACACACACCATAACACACACCATAACACACAACAAAAACACACAACAAAACACACAACAAAACACACAATATAACACACAGCATAAACACCCAGAATTTTCGTCACCAGCAGTAAGGGAGGAAAACCAAGTGTGTGCAACTCGAAAAATCTCTCAGATTACGGCAAAAGCTATTTAATGACAACAACATTTTGCAGTTACTTGGATAACTATTACACTCTTGGATAGCCGGAAATGAAATATAGAAAAAACAATGTCATGTACATCGCCATGAGTAGTCAAAGCAGAACAACGGTACGGATGGAGTTGTCAGGCCTAGAACAACTGGGTGGCTATACCGATATTGAAATGAACAACTGGGTGGCTATACCGATATTGAAATGAACAACTGGGTGGCTATACCGATATTGAAATGAACAACTGGGTGGCTATACCGATATTGAAATGAACAACCGACTATCTGCGCAGACTTGACACACTTGTCCCAAGTTCACCCACACATCATATGGCCCAGAATCTGCGAAAACCAGGCTTAGGGTGAAAATAATTTTTTTGAGAAAAATGATGTTTTGTAAAAAGGTTGTGTCGCGTGGACGATCGAGTGCAGTGAAGTGGAACCAAAGAGAATCTCGCTTGTTTGAAGAAGTAACAGTCATGGCAGGAAGGGTTTCAGCAGTCAGGGAAGTCAAAGGGCTTCCGGTAGAGTATTCCCTGCTACTCCTCTAGTCACGACGAAGAGTTTTTGAGCTGATCGAACGGATTCCATTTCCTACACTCAGGGATGGCGAAATTTCTGCGCTAGCTGCTGCTTGCGGAATATGGTGAAGAAATCGTCTCCAGTTAGAGTCGTGATGGCGATAGCGAGGAGAACCTGGACGACATCGATCCAGCCAATCGAAGTACAGAGATACTAGCTGTTTCTGGGCGTCACGCAAAGGGAATGCGCGCAGCGGAGCTCATACGTTTGCAGCAAATTCACGAGGAAAAAGGCTTGAAGCGCAGTGTGAAAACGGTTTTGAATTGAAGTCCTTGGCGATGAAGTGCTACTGAATGCCAGGCGAATGAGCGAACAGATCGAGAGGCTAGGCCCCCACTCGAGACTTTCCTCGCTGGACAGCTAGCTGCAAGGGATCGTACGGCGTGCTGATATTTCACTTGCTGGTCAGCACCAAGCAGATACTGCAGCACGCCAGCACACTATGCGCTTACTATGAACAGTAGAACAGGTTGAAAGGCTGTGTTCTTGCTTGTTTGTGAACAGTTGTACTAGATTCACCTTTCAAAAGGTGCCATCTCAACTGGAGTCGGGTTTCCTTGTGGTGTGTAGCGCCAGAGCATGCCAGTACATGTATTCAGCCCCAGAATGTGCTGAGTGAGGAGCAAACAAAATTCATGCAGAACTGTGCATGGCCACTACAGCCTGCAGCACCAAGGGGCCACAACAAGCCTGCCCCCACATGCCTACCTTGTCATGTCACCTAAACAAAAATCATCCATGTCTCTTCCTTCAGCATGGTGGATCTCTCTTCATTTCTTTCCTGTGATAACAATTTTGTGTTTTTTTGGTTTTTTTGGATTTTTTAACACAATACCCTGGTGTGTTTTAGATGCTTTCAATACCACTATGAGTCTACCCACACCTGTAATATTTTGTTTCCTCACCCCCTATGCCCAGTATAAGCTGAAAATGGGAAAAAGTCATTTTGTGAAATTTCACCCTAAGCCTGGTTTTCGCAGATTCTGGGCCATATGTTATGTCACCTGCCCTCTCATTTGCACACAAGACACAATAGACCAAGGAAACACATAGTAGTGAGTATATAGCCAGACCAAAATAAATGAAGGTTGCATTCTCCAATAAAGAAACACCCAAACGAACACATACATGTACATGCAAACAAACACAGACACACAGACACACAGACACACAGACACACAGACACACAGACACACAGACACACAGACACACAGACACACAGACACACAGACACACAGACACACAGACACACAGACACCCAAACACACAGACACACAGACACACAGACACACAGACACACAAACACACA